CTAAGTGGGAGACAGCATAAGAGATTGATAATTGAAGCTACAAATTGTGAGCACTTATTGATTAAAATTGTTTTGCATGTGGTGAACACTGTTCATGGCTCACCACGCTCAGAAACAGTTCACTCTCACTCAGCCAGAGTCTTCCTAAAAAGGTCTTGTTAGACAACATTGCACTATGGCTAGGTGAGAGATCCTAGCCAGGTAATTAGCATTAGCCACTGAAGCGTGAGCCTTTGTTCTAGGGTATATATCTACAATGCGACACGATTGAAGATGTATGCAAGTGTGTGTATAGTTTGAACAATATTTATTCTTGTACCACTAGTAGTGTACAGTGGGATTGACAGTGTTTCCCCTGTATCAATGTCGCTCCCCAAACAAATACATATTACAACAGTCCTTCAAAGATTAGATAATGCAGTGTCCAAGTTGCTGCATCCCAGTCTAATGCGACAATGTAAAATTTAGTTATTTCTCAATCCATAGTTCTGCACAATTTCGTGTCCACAAGGCTGTCCCACCGCCCAGTGTCACTAGACAACTGGTCCATACAGGAATACAGGAACATTGATATGAGAGTCATCACACTGTAGGCAGTTTCTATCAATTTATGTTGGAGAGTAATAAACAGAATACTAAACTCGCTTCCGTGAAATACCATTTTTATTAAACTCGTGAAAGATTTAGTATCAAACTCGCTTTGCTCGTTTGATACCAAATCATTTGCTCGTTTTATAAAATTGGTATTACACGGAAGGTCGTTTGGTATCCTCTATATCACACTCAACAAACTCGTGATTATGCCTGGGTGACCATGTCAAGGTGACGTATGTAATCGAGTCAAACTGTTCCAGATGTCGAACTGAAGGCATATTTCAGCGGGGAAAACAAGATAACATAGCCGTGCATTCACCACATGATAAATGAGAACAACCATATGTTATATTTAGTGCAAACAGGTCAGGTAACAAATCAGTTGAAGTTAAGCAACGTTGAAACGGTGACCGTGTTTGGCAGCTTGACTCCTGAGAGTTTTTAGCACTTCAGTCCTGCTCCACAACATGTGTTGCCTCTGTTCACCCAGCAGAAAATGGGTACCCAGTGGGATAAGAAATGTGACTGTAACATCTAGCGCCTAACAGGCAGCTTGGGTTATCCGGGGTAATAATGCGTTAATGCGCTTTGAGCATACCTTCATGGTGTGGAGACAGCGTAACATAAATGCCATTATTATGTTTTACAGATTAAAGATAGTATGCAGCAGACAGGGTTCGGGTGATCCTGGCACAGTCAGGCTGGTAAGGCTCATCATCAGCTCAGAGCCCTTGGCCCCTCTACACGCAGCCCAGACAGCAAATGGGACTTCTCCCAGGAAACACTGCCTAGTCGAACCCACCAAGAACTTTGCGGAGAATATGAAGGCTCCCCAACACTGCAGTCTTCTGCATTACCCAGATTGTCAGAAGGGCTGTGCTCCCGGTGGATAACCCGGGGACTCTCCTGATCTGCGCCAAGAGATCAGGAGGTACCAAACCAAGGGCACCGAGAACAATGGGGAGCCTGACGACAGTGTACTTGGGATGCAAGCGAGACATTTCAAAGGCGAGGTCCGCATATTTATCATGCTTTTCCTGAATCTTGCCAATCACATTGGTGTCAAAGGGACAGAAAATTCAATGATATAAATAAATTCATTGGCTTTATCAAAAAGGACAAGATCAGGTTTGTTGGCAGGAATTCTTCTGAGGCTGTATATGGGCCTATTCCACAGAAGTTTGAAAGCATCATTTTCCATGACGCCCTGGACATTTTCAGGGTGGTAGCATGGATGGACCTCGGAGTCAAAGCCACAGACATGGCGGAGACGGTAGTAAAAGCAACGAGCCATGCCATCATGTCATTTAAGATATGCTGTTTGTGCCAAAGAGGGGCATCCACTGACAAGGTGTTGGACAGTCTCTGTAATTTCATTACATAGTCGACATTTCATATTGATATTTTCTTTAAGAATCACATTTTGGCGATTGCGAGTGAGAAGTGACTGGTCCTGAGCATTGCTGTACCGTCCAGCAGTACATCGCCATCAACAAAATCAACATCAGATTTCAGATTCTGTCCAACAACCTTGGAACGCTTAAAAAAGCTGTGGAATTCCTTCCTTTCATCATGAGTCTTCACATGCATCACCAGAGGATCATCCGATAAATAAATTTGGGCAAAATCACACAATAAAATTCTATTATGAAGAGCCTCCACATTAATCAAACCCCGCCATTATTATTATTAAATGTATTATCATAATTAACGAGCATCAAGATGCTTTCAAATGAAATATGTGATAGCTGTACAGATATGGTTAGGCGTATCATTAGCTATGCACCCCTGCACACCCAGAACTTTGGGTTCCGCATTACCCGTGTGCCTGGCAGCTACCCGGGTACTCTCCCAAAGTCAGCAACACAGATTGGCGGGTACCAAACCTTAAGCACCAACGTGGAGTTGGATTTATCCCAGTGCACGTTACCAAGTCGAACAAACCAAAAATGATTCGGAAAATGCAAATAATCCCTCACAGCGCAACCTTTTGCATTATCAAAAGTGCCTGAAGGGCTGTGTTCTGGGCAGCATACCCGGGTACACTCCCAATGCCAGTCAAGAGATTGTGATGTACCAAACTTCAGACAATGGGCACTTCGACTACTGGTACTGCAAGTGTGATCACATTTATGCCAAAAGGAGACCATTTCATTAGTTTCATCTAAAATAGTAAAGTCACACCTCTGAGTCAAACAAGCATGATCAAAATGGTAATAAGAGAAACGAGCAACTCATAATGTTGCTGTGTTGTTGGCAATGCTGGGTATTGACTGACACTAAGCGTCAGGCGGTCTGATTACATTAATTGCTTACACTACATTTCACATTTAAATTCAGTTGCTAATTCAAACATTGACGATTTTGAGTGGAAAGTGACTGGTACTAAGCAGCAAACGGAATACCTTCTGTCGGACAACTGATGTCATGTCACTCGCGTCTGCTCTTCCTTTCAACACACTGCACAAACACTCAGATGCGGAGGTCGCTCATAAAGCCTTCTTTTAAAAATACAGACCTTGTACCAATTTCAAATGGCACTTCTCTTGGTTGATACCATCCAGCAGTACAGGTCCAGCAACAAAATCAACAATGGTTTTGAACAATGACCAACATTGATGGTGGAGAGGAGAGAGAGGATGATGGCATTCATTGTTCGACATGATGGATAATTTGGCCACCATTGCTTGGACAGAAATATGCAGTTGGTAATATATTCAGCAGCAAGAAAACGTAAGTACGAATTCAAAATTAGATAGGCACTGTAATCAAATCATTACAGAAATGGGCATAATAAATTGATCAAAAACATTTTTGTGTACAATATCTTGGCATATCAATGAATTACTCAGCACAATTCCAAGACATTACGTGAAAGTTTGCAGTCCATTCACGCTCTTGACTTCAGTATCTAGTGTGAAGACCACGAGCGGCAATAACTGCAGCACAGCGTCTATGCATGGAGTGCACCAATCGATTGATGAAGGTCATTGGCACCTGGAACAACGCTTTGAGAAAGGCCTGGCGCAATAAATCGGCTGTATTCGGCCTTGGAATGACATTATTCAGTCTCTTCTGAAATTCATCCCAAAGATGTTCAACTGGGTTTTAAATCAGGGCTAAGGGCTGGCCACTGCATAATGTTGACACCGTTCTGCTGTAGGAAGTCCCGTGTTGTGCCGGTGACGTGCGAAATGTGGTATGACGTGGGGTCTGAGAGCTTGGTCGATGTACTAGCGCACCGCTGTGATGCCGCCTCCTCTCCCTGGACCAAGGTTCTGGAATACCACAGGACCCACTCTCTGGTTCAGGCCTATTCCACCCCATACCATGATGCTTGCACCTCCCCATGAGTCTCTTTCCATAACACATTGGTCTGAGTAACGTCGCCGCAGTATCGACTCTCATCTGTGAACAGAACAGTTCTCCATTGCCTGTATCGCCAGTTTTGGTGTTGTAGGGCAAACTGTAAACGTTCACGCCGATGACGAGGGGTGGGGATAGGTCCACGGTAAGGTCTACTGCAATGGAGGTTCCCGCTGTTAAGACGTCGGCGTAACGTCGGCGTACTGTATCAGTACTGATTGTTCTTCCGTGTGTTTCCACTGTCTGGCGTGCTGTTTCGGATGCCTGCATGAAGGGATTCAGTGCATGCTGTCGCACAACATGGCGGTCTTGTCGTCTTGTGGTCACCCTTGGTCTGCCAGTACGGGGACGATCATTTGTGGTGTTGGTGGCCCGGAAACCTTGCTGCAGCTGCCTGTGGATGGTCAGAACGTTGACCTGGAAGTGATTGGCAACGGCTTGTATAATGTGATCAGCTTCAAGTCTTCCTAGCGCCTGGTTCCTCTTAGCTGTCGTAATGTGAATGTTTCAACCAGGTTTGGGGATGCATTTTATAGGGCTGGTCCTTGTGAACAGCACGTGCAGCATGAGTTGCATGAAAAACATGGAGAACACCGTACCATCTCCGAGATCAGGTTGCGTTTTTGAGACCATTTCCTGAGTTCCATTCTGAGTTTGGGAAAAAATGTCTTTGCTCAGGTAAAGTTGGAGATGTTGTCAAAAATATACAATCAAAACATTAAATGAGTTTACAGTTATCCGTTTCTGCGAAGGAAAATTCCAAACTGACGTTTGTTTTGCTGCTTAGTATACATATCCACTCTGCTATCGTGATTCAGTTTTATAGGCTTGAACGCGTCCAACAACAACAACATTAATCAATAGTGCGAGATGTAAATATCTTTTTATCTGCGGACGCTCAAGGGCATAGCAAATGCGATTGTGCACTAATATGGCGCAGTAGGTTTGGGGGCACAGTGAACCAGGTCAGGGTAAAGTGTACATAATCTTCACAGATATGCATGTAAAAAGAACTGGAACAGTATTGCAGTGGTTTGGGACACAGTGACCCAAGCGTAACTCGTACACGGCTTGCATAGACAGATATCCATGTAGAAAGTAGTGGGGCGCCATAGGATCAAGACGTCTATAATACATGCTTGCATATTTAAATCGGAAACAAGAAAATGGCTTCGTCCAAGCGCATCCTTTCCGTGAGTACTGACTTTAACAGACAACTGCTGACTTGAAATGGAATGATGATACATGAATAGTAAATTGTAACTAGAGAAAACATGTAATTGTTATTCATATGAAGAGTTTAAATATTATGTTATTGAAACTACCAACATAATATTGGGTAAGTCGACACATTAATCATAACTAGTGTTGGGAATTGGTTTATTTCTGATAATTGATGATTGGTTCATTACAACCGATCAATCATCGAAAATAATTGGTTAGCGTCATTTATCAAAATGTCCTGTTTATGTTTTTTAATTCTCAAAAAAACCCAAAAAACCGTGTAGTTCTTCCGTTGGTTTTTATCAAATTTCACATTTTAAAAGGATGCCTAGTAAGTTAGGAACATAAATGTCCTGGAGTATTTAAGATAAATTCAATTATGACTTGGAACGAGCCTGTAGTGTTTATGAAATGTAGCAGACAAAACCAACCTTGTGAAAAATATTGTTAATGCAAGCAAGTGTTCCAAAATTGTTTGTGTTCGATTATGAGAAAACATGATCGATTGCTTGGTCGTTTAGTCATTGCGACCAATCTTCGATTATTTCAATTAATCGGACTACCACTAATCATAACCAATTCACTGACAAAGCCCATACCAGGTAAAAGGGAGACCGAGTGACAAACCAGAAGTTTTTTCTGTTTCTTTGTTGTTTAACGCCGCACACTAGCGAAAACAAGAGACTGTGAGTCCTATGAAGATGTAAAAAACACCATCATAATATTTGGTAATTCGTTTGTTTAATCAAACATAACTCACTGACAAATCCCACTCATGGTGGAAGAGAGACATAGTGAAAAGCCGTAAAAGTGTGTTGGTATAACAGAACAAAAATCGGGTGTGACCACCATTTACATTGTGAAAGCGAGACTGTAGCGGCGACTTAAAGGCACCAGGTGACTGACAATATGGGTGTTAAGTTTCTAAATTGCAATCAAAGGTCTATCTAACTGAGCTAGCGTTACCGGGTGGTTTTTGTCCTCACTCAGAGAGTGGTCAAAAGAAACACTCGACCACAGCGGTACAGCGATTACTTGCTGCCTCACAAAGTCTGTTTTTACAAGTACAAATTTGGGCGGAGATTATCCTACTTCACCGTGAAATCCCTTCATTTGCATACAGGATAGAACATGATCTATAACAATGTCTCTTCTGTATCGTACAGCATTAAAATATCTTGCAATTGATGAGGTGTGATGTCACTTCAAACCATGACACTCGCAACTCACAATTGGTGAAATTAAATTACACAAACTTTCTCCTGGATGCATGTAGACCCGTTCACAACCATCAACCAGTGTCAATGGACTCTTCATTAAACAGTACACTGTCCCTGCCTTGGGTTCAGAACCTCAGATGATGCCTAGGGTGAAACGGTATACCTCGGCATTATGCTAGGGTTTACACTACGTTCCCGGTGGCCACGGCAGCCCTGTTTCCCAGAAACTTAGTGTGCCATGGGACTTTTGCCATTTTGTTCCCTCCAAAGTCAAGGTAGGTCCTGCTAAGATTTCATACGGTCTATCACGGCATCCGAGATGGGCTGTTGGGAAAACGAGCTGCTGAGTCCCGGAAGCTCAAGGGCGCACTACGGTCCAGTCCGCAGACTACTACGGATGCCAATATGTTTCCTCCCGGCCTGTCGCGTTCTGATGGGTTCCCTCACGTTTTGATCAAGGTTTTGACACGTTTTGCGCGTTCTGTCAAGACTTTCTATGGATAAAACGTGGACTCCGGGCAACTTTGGAGCACGTTTGTGCCCACGGTATAAAAATAAGGCCTCCCAAGCAATAGCAGCCATTGTATCCTGAGAGTCAAGAGCAGCATGAACCCTTAAGATGTGTTTGCATGTTTGCTGGGGGAATACATCGAGTCCTTGCGTCATACTCCCTCCCAGACCACGTGCACAGAATCAGACCGGAGTAGAACGCATCTTGCCTTATCTCGTCGGCCCTGTAAACAGTCAATCACGGTAATCACGGCATCTACGGTAATCACGGCATCCACGGTAATCACGGCAATCACGGCATCCACGGTAATCACGGCAACCACGGCATCCACGGCAATAACGGTAATCACGGCATCCACGGCAATCACGGCATCCACAGCAATCACGGCAATTACTGCATCCACGGCAATCACGGTGATCACGGCATCCACGGTAATCACCGCATCCACGGTAATCACGGCATCCACGGTAATCACGGCATTCACGGCAACCAATCACGGCAATCAAGGTATCCACAGCAATCACGGCAATTACTGCATCCACGGCAGTCACGGTGATCCCGGCATCCACAGTAATCACGGCATCCACGGTAATTGCAGCAATCACGGCATGCACGGTAATCACGGCATCCACGGCATCCACGGTAATCATGGCATCCACGATAATTACGGCATCCACTGTAATCACGGCATCCACGGCAATCACGGCATCCACGGCAATCACGGCTTCCACGGTAATCACGGCTTCCGCAGCAATCACGGCAATTACTGCATCCACAGCAATCACGGGGATCACGGGGATCACGGCATCCACGGCAATCACGGCATCCACAGCAATCACGGCAATTACTGCATCCACGGCAATCACGGTGATCACGGCATCCACGGTAATCACCGCATCCACGGTAATCACGGCATCCACGGTAATCACGGCATTCACGGCAACCAATCACGGCAATCAAGGCACCCACAGCAATCACGGCAATTACTGCATCCACGGCAATCACGGTGATCCCGGCATCCACAGTAATCACGGCATCCACGGTAATTGCAGCAATCACGGCATGCACGGTAATCACGGCATCCACGGCAATCACGGCATCCACGGTAATCACGGCATCCACGGTAATCACGGCATCCACGGTAATCATGGCATCCACGATAATTACGGCATCCACTGTAATCACGGCATCCACGGCAATCACGGCATCCACGGCAATCACGGCTTCCACGGTAATCACGGCTTCCGCAGCAATCACGGCAATTACTGCATCCACAGCAATCACGGGGATCACGGCATCAACAGTAATCACGGCATCCATGGCAATTGCAGCAATCACGGTAATCACGGCAATCACGGCATCCTCGGCAATTGCAGCAATCACGACAATCACGGTAATCACGACAATCACGGTAATCACGGCAATCACGGCATCCACGGCAATCACGGACTGTCATTTTTACTCATTCAGTCCCCTCATGTTGTCTCACGTCCATCCCCTTTTGTCCCCGTTTCACTACATCTCGGCGATATGGGGTTGCCGTGGTCACCGGAAACACAGTGTAACCCTAGCATGAGTAGAACTGCGTTATTTTGCCTTCAGATCGGTATACCGTAATGCAATCGAAAAATTCGGTATTTTCGGTTTTCCTACCGTCATTTTGTTAACCTTATTAAATGACGGTTTTGTTGATTCAAAATAACAAAGAGTTTGGCTATGTTTTTCCATTTTATTATACAATGTAAGGTTTGGCTCTTGTCAAATTTCTGCATTGTGATCATGTACCCAATCTAAACGGACCGAACCGAAGGCCTTGTACCCCAATACGCACCGTACCGTGGTAAGAGCTTACCGTTTCACCCCTACTTCCTACACCAAGCTATGCGTGTCTGACGGGGGTATGGAAACAAATCAGGGCCTATCACTACACGTCTGAGTCCGATGCAATTGTCCAAACTGCGAATGCAAAATGTAACAGGTAGCAGTGGAATTCCATCAACGAAATGTACATTTGTACACAAATCACAACTGAAAGTTTTCTTGTTCGCCTTTTTCAGATTGACGGTGTAGTGCACACTGTCGACCATACCAAAATGAACATCAAGGTAGAAACAGACAAGTTTGGCAAGACCATCAAGTACATGATGTTCAATGGCCGGCATCACCTTCCAGCATATCCTCCGTCAGTCCTCGACCAAATAAAGAGCGTCTCTATGAGGCCTGATGATGTCTTCTGTCCTGCCTTTCCAAGAACAGGTAATCTGCTCTTTGCATAATTAGTGTCTTTTTCTCCTTTTGCGCATAGAGAGGCACCTCGCTGGTCTGGCAATGTCCCTTTTCAGTCTGTTCGGATGGGAATAAATCCTGTACTGTAACAAACTCCTGACCATTCCCTTTACCAAATGTCAGCAACATACTGAGCCAGAACACTAATGTTACATAAAATGACCGAAGGATGCCTGTGGGAGTATGGACGACGTAAGTGCTTCATTTACTTTCCTTTCCGGGACGTCTTGACATACACAGTATATTTCACACATGGAGTCAAATATGATCCATCCATCATTGAGTGACGTGAAAAACGTCTTGTATATCACGTTTCGTTCAGCCCGCGAGAAGACAGATGCATCATATTTAACTGGACATATGTCTTATTTATTAGTACAGTGTATGTTACTTCCGTGTTTTGTTTCATTAAAATTTAGGTTTTAGTTTCAACTGGGAATCGACATCGTACAATATTTTCACTGTAGTGAACACATCAAATTTCTGTCACTGTACTGAAGATATCACTTTTCTCAAACACTCAAATCTTCGTCTGTAAAAGAACATACAAAGACAAAAACATGAGGATTGCATGTCAAACATATATTTTGGCTTTAATATTCACATCAGTGATATTTTACCTTGATAAGACCTTACGCTAACGTACTGTATGACATGAAGTCTCCATGTCCAGAAAGAGTCATGCCTGTGTGAGTGAGTGAGTTTGGTTTTACGCCGCTTTTAGCAATAGTTCAGCAATATCACGGCGGGGGGACACCAGAAATGGGCTTCATTCATTGTACCCATGTGTGGAATCGAACCCGGGTCTGCGGCGTGACGAGCAAACGCTTTAACTACTAGGCTACCCATCCGCCTCTTGCCTATATAGTATGACATCTTGCTGTGTAAAAATAAAGTCACAAATCACAAATGTCACAGACTTCTTTTGTGGAAATCGTCAGATATCTTCAGAATAGTGATAGAATATTGCAAAAATTGCGCTGAACTATATTCTTCCAAAATCGCTAAACATAATGATGAGAACACAACTCTGACCAAAAAGTCTTTTGCATTTTGCAGTGCCTTCCTGTAACCCAAGCGGGCTTAATCCAAACTATTACATAATAGACATAATAAAGGGAACATTGTACGTGTCTGCGCTATACTTTTTTTTTAATAACATTTATTTCCACATATTAAACGATCACATGTTTCAGGAACTCACTGGCTATACGAAATGGTAAGCATGCTGTTGAGTGGCAAGGCTGAAACCATCCAGGAATCCAAGATTAAGCACCAGTTAGAGTTTACGCCGAACGAGGAGTTGATTAAGCTTCCTTCACCAAGGGCTATCAATACCCACTTCCGGTTGTCAGATGCTCCCGAGGACTTGAAGGAAAAGAAGTGCAAGCTTATCTACAATCTTCGAGATCCGAGAGACGTGGCAGTGTCCCTCTATCACTGCTACATTGATCTAGTATATTCGGAATGCGAGTGCTCTTTTGAAGGTTTCTTGTATCTGTTCCTTGAAGGAAAAGGTGTGTTGATTATTTTTATGAGCATAAGCTAATGCATCTAACAATGGAAGAGTCAAATTGACTGTTTTACCGCCAGTTCGAAATAATTCTAATTTTTGGTGATAGATGACATGTTTGTGACCTTTACACAGTTTTCTTTCCATCCTTTATCGCTGTTTCATGAACTCTTGTATTATAGGATACATCTAATCTGCATGACAGGGTTAGTGAAGATGAAGTACTGCTTTATGGTTCCAGCTGAAGCCGGTGGTCTATTTCATCATTGCCGTGATGCTGAGGAATATTTCAAGGAGAATCCGGATATTCCCGTTTATTTCAATATCTATGAAGAAACTCTAAAGGTTGTCAATGCGTATCAGAATTGTACTTGATTTATCAGTCAGTTTTAGGGCCTTAGAAATGTTTGGGATGGGGGTACAACGAGTGAGTAAGTGAGTTTAGATTTACTACTACTTTTTATTGCAATATTCCAGCAATATCACGGGTTGGGGACACCAGAAACGGGCTTCACACATTCTTAGGCGTGACGAGCGAACGCTTCAACCACTACACTACCACACCGCCCCTGGGAATGAAATAAACATTTTGCAGCCAACGTCACAAGTATCGAGTAAACCCATCTCTTTTGATCAGACATGGACGACTTCTTGTCGGCATCAGTCTGATGAACAATAGCATCATGACTCATGCTGCACTACTTCTTACTAAAGGCTTTCATTGAAAGTGGTGGTTAGATTTTGGGATAGACGTCTTAAACCTAGATAAGGAATCTCCATTTCTAATATTAATAGCCACAAAATTCCAAGCTTGAACAACATATGGCAGAAAAGACCGATTATACTGCCATAGCGCCCTGCATTGGTCATCTCCAAATTCCTTCTGTTATGGCCCCCAGCCGCGATATAGCTGGAATATTGCTCAAAGCTAGATTGCCACACATTGGGGCACTTTAGATATTAACATTTATAACACGTAGAAGTTATGTTTATAAAAGTAGGGTATGTAACATAATCATCAAGCATTTCATGCTGTAAAAAATGTAGGATAGGTTGCCGAAAAGGAATCTTTGCATGAATTGGTATTGGAACATCATAATCATGCACAACTATTTCTGCTTTACAATAGGATCCGGTGTTGGCTGTGCAACGCCTCTCTGATTTCCTTGGTCTCCCACGAAACGATGAACTTTGCCAAGCCATTGCAGACAAATGCCACTTTTCCAACATGAAGATAGACAAAGACAAATTCGCCCTTAAAACTGATGGGGAAAACCTGCTATATCGAAAAGGTATATTGATCACGCTTACGTTGCAGACCAAGTGTCGCTAGAATGTCTATATGTATATATAGGACATGACATTGGCAGAAAACCGTTCTAAAACAAATACACGTTATGATATTACCGAACTGAGCAGAATGAGGACGCTTGAGAATAGCAACCGGATATTGTGTTTTGTGTGATGTTGTCAGTAAGGTAATTCTGTGTTACAGTACAACCAGAAATCATTGAGAATTTAAAGATTGTAATTGTTTATATTTTTTTCACTCATTACTCACGTATTAAATGTGAATATTAGCAGAACATAACTCCAGATTCAAAGACAGGTGAACAGTTAGTATTTTGTCAAGTCACCATGGTCAGCAATGCAGGCTTCAATGCGGCGGGGAATACTACTGATCAAATAAGTTAGAAAGTCGTGGTCCATGCTGTCCCAATATCGGACCACCTCTTCTTTCATTTCAGCAATATTTGTCAGATTTTTCTGATTGACACTTCCTTTCATAAGTCCCCAAACAGTTTCTATTGGATTTACGTCAGGGCTATAGCTTGGTAAATCTAATAATGTCATATTTTGGGTCCGAAACCAGGCCTGAGAATGCTTTGAACGATGTTTTGGGTCGTTGTCCTGCTGGAAAATCAAAATTTTTTCCATAGAACACGTGAGCAGATGGAAGTAAATGTCCCTCGAGAATATCTGTGTACCGCTCACTGTTCATATTCCCTTCAAATACACAGAGGGGCGTTGCCCCTAACACAGATATGCCACCAAACACGTTAAATTTAGGACTGTACTTTGGGCGCTGATACAAAGGTTTTTCAGTTTGTTTGGTCCAGAATTTCAGTGTATTAGGAAACAGCCACACAGAACTTTCATCTGAGAAAATCACATTGTCCCAGTTAACATTTCTATGCTGTAAGCACCAGTTCAACCTTCGCTCCTTTTGTTCAGGTTTCATGATCGGTGATGGAATTCCCCGACTTTTCTGCCAAGCCATTGCATGCAGCTCAGTTCTAATTGTCTCCTTACAGACAGCCACAGATCCTCTATCAATCACATCCAGCCTTAAGTTTTCTAACCTCCTTCGTTTGTTTTTTTAAAACAAGAATACCAAGCCGCCTCCTGTCACCGACAGTCAATTTTCTGGGCCTACCTGCGCCTCCCTGGTGCTCAGTGCCATATCCATTTGCAATAAATTTCAAAACACGATAAACAGTGGACAAAGGGTTGCCTGTTCTACTTGAAATCACTTTAGCTGATCTGATGTCCTTGTTATTATACTCTAAAATCAACTTCCTCTTCTCTAAATCATCCTTACTGAGGATCACTGAAAATGTCGTCTGCTAGCAAGTTAACAAAGGGGGATAACTCTTCACAAACTAATGAAAAAGGATTAACGGAGTTGTCTCTCTTGAATGAAACCAAGCACTTGATAGCTGGTCAAGGTTGTTTATACTAGAAATCCAATTAAACATATTCCTAAAATTCTCAATAATTTCTGGTCATACTATACTTAGAGAATGACGAAAAGCTAATGCTTCTAACCATGGTAAATACAACACAGGAGCTTACAATAAACCGCATTTTACCAGGGAGCTAACTCTGACAGGTCGATAATGAAATCGTGTTTTAAGGAACATTGATTTGTATTTTAGAAACCGAATGATATGAAAAACAAACATATTTGTGTGGACGTAAGAAATCTCCAATCTGTTTCCATGTCTGCAAAGGATAGGGAAATTTGTTCAGACGTCTATTGCGATCCTTAATATTTTGGCTCTATTCGTTTATCATTCGTTAATAAGTGTACTTTTTCTTAAGAAAAATTATATTGTATATTTCAATTTCATTTTCATTTTTGCATTCTGTCACAAGTAACCATTGACAATTTTTAATTAGTCCTATTTGTATTGACTGACAGGTAAAGTTGGCGACTGGAAGAACTATTTCACAGACCAAATGTTGGAGGACTACTATCGAGTGTATGAGGAAAAGATGGCCGGCTCGAGATTCTACAAACTGTACGCTCGAAACGCATGAACAGTATTCACATAATATCCATGTGTTTTCATAACATGAAGAAGTCAAACGGAATGTATAAATTTAGGTCGAGACTGGACTGAACAGAGAATAATCGTGAGCTTGATCCACTTCAAGAGAGCTTAAAAATTTGATTTAAGATATCATAAGCAAAAGGAAAAGAAAACGTTTACATGAATAGCTTCATGTACTGTGAGTGAGGGAGTTTAGTTTTACGTGGCTTTTAGCAATATCCCAGCATTATCACGGCGGGGGACACCAGAAAGGGGCTCCACATATTGTACCCATGTAGGGAATGGAACCCGGGACTTCAGCGTGAAGAGCGAACGCTTTAACCAGTAGGCTACCCCAACACCCTGATAAACTGTTACAATTGAAATATAGGACAGTGTATATACAAAGATAATAACCATATAAATTTACAGTTTATATGTGCGCGCAAAACAGAGTATATTCACAAGGGAAATACGAGTAGTATTGCAGGAGTTTAAATTTATTTGAATCTTGAGTCTGACATATAGGGGCAGTGGGGAAAAACTGAACGTTGCAGTTGAGGTGAGCGCTCTCATTTGACAATAACATACGCAGGGACTAACCTCATTTTAACATGTTTCTTTACACTCTTAAATATGTGGACCGCCTCCGTGGTGTAGTGGTTAGAGCGTCCGCCTGCGTCATACCAAAAGACGTTAAAATATTGTACTTGTTGGTCCCTGCCTGGCGCTCGGCATTAATGGGTACATCAAGGACTGGTCAGCTCGGAGTCAGTATAATGTGTCTGTGTGAGGTATTCATGCTTCACTGCGGCATGGTATCTCAGTGGGCTAGCACTATAAAACGAGCTTCAGTCTGGGCTAGTACAAGCAGCCGCACATACACATGCACGTCGTCATATGAGTGAAATATTCTCAAGCACGACGTTAAACCGAATTTCACCTCACCTCACCTTATATATGTGATTAATTGCAGTATATTAGCCTAGATATTTTATGAAGTCGTGATATATGTTTTCACACGGAGGACTGCAGAGACATTTGAGTGTGTTTATTAAACCAATTCTAAATACATATATAACTCATAATCTAATTGGAGTAATTTAGTATAATGTTTGCGGTTAAAAACAGCTTACAGTACAACACTAATTGTCAGTGGCAGATCGTTCCAAAGGTTTGCAGTGGAAAAGGTGCTGATCAAATAAGTAAGTTTAGGGAATCAGTGATTATCTCCCTCACACCAATGGTTCCATTGCACACTGCGTTTGCACTGCATCGTAAATGTTTCAGGTTGCCAGAATTTAGGTCACGCCTTCAAATCGCAGCAGCGGAGTGTGCAAAACTGGCCGTGTGATTAGACTCGGATAATGAGACGATGAAATGCAATCGAAACGAAAAATGATGTTTATTTCTTTTATGCAAACTTGCTTGGAAATGTTTTAATCTGTTTATATGTAAGGTTATAATGGACAATATATATATTCCCTATATAATCACGTATATTATATTTTTACATTAAGAGCCAGTAGATTATGAATTTTTTCCACCTTTACACTTAAATCACTACATCTAGTTTTAGGTTGGCTCTAGTCACGCCAACGAGACAACTCCGAAAAAGTCCACAACGAAATCTAACTATATGTATCAAACCAGAAGTGGTTATCCATAGGTTTGAACCTCTCCGTACTTTAGTTCTTTTGGAAGTGAATATTTTCTCAAAGTGATGGATCTTAACATTCAAACTGAGAGTTTGTTCCATAATGCAATTCATTGCCTCTGTTATGTACATGTTCATTTCAAACTTTGTTTTTTCGTAAATCACATTAAGACACTGTTATGATTTCCATCAACTCATCTGAAAAGACAGAAATTTCCAAATATCACTTCCATAAGTAGAGCGCACTCGGTTGTCTATGTGGATGGATTTAGAAATGAAAATTGCAAACATTCTCATGCCACTGTCTCTTGATGTTAAGATTGTGTATGTTCATATTACCTTCCAAATATTTATGTAACCTCCTATGATAATCAACAATACAATCTTTACAATTCTGTACTTGTGTTTTCTCTTATAGTAGTTCATTGAATATAATGCATGCCGTGACATTTCATAACAGTTAAAACTCATGGTTGCATTGCTTTGCTTTTGCCTATTTCGTATATAAGATTATTTGAACATTTGATGCACTGCATCGGATTCTATCACCGTTGTGGCGTTGAACCGCATCAGGATTGAGAAAGTGTAAACCCATATATAACATGTAGAAGTGTGACGATACAGACATTTCACGATACGATACGTATCGCGATATCTTGGAACGATACGATTCGATTCGACGAATATCACGTTATGCTTTCTTTAGTTATTTTCGTTAAAAAATCATATTTTAATAGCAAGAAATTTTGACACAACCGTCAATATCTAAAGAAAATTAACTATTTTAAGGTCAACAATACATATCACGATACGAAAAAAAGTATCGATATATTTATCTTCAGATAAAGTATCACGATTGTCGACACTACGATATATCGTCACAGCTCTAATAACATGTCTGAGATTAGCATCAGAGTCTATGACTTACTGCCCAGTGACACGTCCATTAATTACATGTAAAGGGGTTCTAACAGTCACAGTGATCTTACCCTACACAATTACTGAATCAGGACTGATAAAGTGTAAACCCATATATGACATGTCTGAGATTAGCATCAGAGTCTGTGACTTATTACCCAGTAACACGCCCGTTAATTACATGTAAAGGGGTTCTACTAGTCACAGTGATCTTACCTACACAATAACTGAATCACCTCCGATACAATCCTGTCTAATGTTCACGGTATGAAAACGCTCATTGCTCCTGTCAACGAAGTCCAAAGTAAACCCCGATTCATCCGAAAACATAATGATTGCACAACGATTATGTGAGGAATAATCTTTGAACATTCCCGCTGTTCGGAAACAAGAACGCACATCTTATTTGCCATGCCTATGTAGGCTATGCGCCTAACTGGTTTATCTACCATGACGTTAACCAGACACAAAGCGTCTTTGAGCAGTTGTTTACTGGATATGAGTTTTATATACAAAGGTATATATACTAGGAACATAAAGAAACTGTGCATTGTCAAAATGTTATCCCAGTAGATAAGTGCGATAACAATGTCAAAGGTACATATAAACTTTAATGGAGGGATCATGAGACCATAACAAGTCAGGGGTCAAACGACCATGTCACAAGCTCAATAACGGGTATGTCCACATCGGCATTGAGAACAGCAGTGCATCGACGACGCATAGAGCCTATCAAACGTGCAAGGAAGGCTTGTGGGATGTCACGCCAGATTCTCTCAAGTTCTGTTGCAAGGTCAAGGACGTTATCTGGCGGATGAAGAAGACGGCCTAGACGTTGATTCATCTCGTCCCAAACATGCTCTATCGGGGAGAGATCCGGTGAATTTGCAGGCCAAGGCAGTAAGTCAACGTTGTGGTGTTGCAAGAAATCCATAGCAACCCTTGCCGTATGAGGGCGGGCATTGTCCTGTTGGAATGTTAACCCAGGGCCATGACATTGCAGAAAAGGAATTGCCACAGGTCGAAGAATCTGATCCCAGTAGCCCACACCAGTTAAGTTGCCCTGAACAATCACCAAAGGAGTTCTTCTGGAGTGCTGTTATTACACCCCAAATCATCACGGAACCACCACCAAAGCGATTCCTCTCCAAGACACAGGCCTGTGCATAACGTTCTCCCACGCGTCTATAGGCACGTTGACGTCCATCACTATGGGAAATGTTAAACCTGGACTCATCTGTAAAAACAACATTTCTCCACCAAAACAAGGGTCTGCGGACATGATTTCGGCACCACATTCGGCGAGCTTGTCGATGACGTTGTGTCAGGATAGGCCGTATGGTGGGACGTCGTTGTTTGATCCCGTGATGACGTAAACGTTGTCGAACTGTGTTGGTGTGGATATGGCGAAGTCCTGGGATGGTTCGGGCAGTCATCACTGCAGTCTGAAACCTGTGGCGAAGATGGGTCACCCTTATCCATCTGTCCTGTCTTGTCGTTGTTACACGTGGACGTCAAGAACGTGGCCGATCGATGACGTCATTTGTGTTCTGGTAGCGTCTCACCAGTGCAGAAATGGTGTTCCGGTGGCAGTGGAAATGTGCAGCCACTTGTCGTTGAGACATTCCCCCCACGGACCATCCCAATGGCCTCATGACGTTGTGCAGACGTGAGCCTTGGCATGCTATGCGTTTCAATAGCCGTTTAATCTTTGAACGATCGCAAGGGCAGGGGTTGAGCTTTCCAAAGTGACAGTATTGTGTGGCATTCATTTGCTCTGTTTCTCTTTCCCGTAATGCACGTGCAACAACGTATTGCACGTCTCAAGGACGAACCCACTGACGTCACGGAACGTGGCACGTGCATGCATGTTGGATACATGTCACTAATCTCTGAGTTTAAATCCTTATGTGTCTACACAGGTTTGATAAATTTATATTTTAAATTTTTGTATGCACAGTTTTTTTATGTGCCTAGTATAGTTATAATGACTGTGTTCGTTGTGATAGTGCTTTTTTGGTACAAGGACATTGTTTGTTTTTTTAGTGATACAATTAATTTAGTGCCAACGATAGATGGATCCTCTTGTAAATGACTTCCTTCAATAGAACAGTTGACCTTGGTTGACCTATGTCCGCTTAACGTGATATAACGAAAACTATCAAGGGCATAACAAATGAGAGATATGCTCCATTGCAGTACGTTGTTGGCGCAGTAATTAAGGGTCAGGTAACGTGTAAACAGCATGCACAGACACGGACATGCTGAGATTCATAGGCGCGTCTTCGATACTCTTTCAAGCTTGCATATTTCAAAGCAGAAAGTTGGCATTTCCTTAGATAACTTTTTAATTTTTTAATTTCTTTTTTGTTCCAAATGTGATGAGTACAAAAACATAATGAGTACAAGCATATAGAGGAATATGTGCACATTGCAGCTAGTGGGCTCAATAGCGATATAGTACACTAAGTACATTGAATATCAATATCAGTAACATGTTTTTGTTTAATAGTCATTTAGGGTTAAATTCAGGGATGAGAGGAAACCATTTGGCTAAAAAGCTTTCAACATTATTATTTCTTCTGGAGATGAATGATTCAGTCGTAAATATGTCTTTCAATATCCTTAAGTAATTATCAACTTTTGGAATTGTTTTTTCAAAGAGCAAGGGTAAATATATCTCTTAGCAGATAAGATTATGTGGTTCAGTAATGGGTTTTTACCTAACAAGCCAAACCAGATCAAAGATTTTGTCAAATTAAGTGTTTGGATACGTTTCGTAATCCACTGTTCAAGTTTCTTCCAGAAAGTTTTGGTTTCATCACATTCCCAATATACATGGCATAAGGTTTCAACAGAATCATTACACAAAGAACATATTGTATTGTCCACCAGATTCATTCTAAAAAGTTCTTTTTTGGTATAAACAATTCCGTGCTGAAATTTATATTGGAAATCTAACAGTTTCACATCTCTTAAATTCTGTCTACAAATATTAAAAATCAAATGCCAATCAAAATCAATACAGTCAAATAATGCTTCCCATTTTTGGCACATGTGAGGTTTAACATTTTCAGATAACAATTTATCATAGAATAATCTTGAACCTTTTCTTAGGGATATGAAATCCTTTTGGAGTGAATTTATTGTGAGGTCCTTTATGTTTATGTATCTATATCCCTTTAAAGTCTTTTTCCAAGGTTCAGGTAAAATATATATAACACATCCAAGATCTAAGTGAGTACATTTTATATCAAATTTAAGCTTCAATTGATCAAAGGACATAAACCCATGTTCATCACAAAGATCTTTGATCGTCAAGATTAGACTTTTAGCCCAGTGACTAATGATGTTATTTGAGTTTTTGAAATTGGTATTCAGCCATAAAGGTTGGGATAAGATTTTATAAATGTTCTCTGCATCTATAGTATTTTTTATACAGTATAATTTCCATGCCTTTAATACGTCTTTCCAAAAAGGATTATGAACTGCAACTATATTCTGAAAAAAAACAAGTTTTCATCTGAGCCATTCAAAAATAATTCAGTGTCATCTGCATATTGACCTAATTAGTATTCTTGATCATCAATTACAATACCCTTTATAGTTTCATGTTGTCTTATCATACGTCCTAGGATTTCAGCCAAAAAAGAAATGATATGGAGATATGGGATCCCCTTGCCTACAACCCCGTTGATTTGGGAAGAAATCAGAGAGATGTCCATTCTGAATAACACATGAAGTTGTGTCATATGTTATGACATTAATCCCACGTATAATCTTTGGACCAAAACCCAATTTTATTAGGACAGAATTGACCAAATCCTTGGAAAATGTGTCAAATGCTTTTTCGAAATCGATCAAAATTAATAAACCTGACATGTCTCTTTTCTTAGTTTCAAACATAATGTCACATAATAGTCTTGTGTTTTCACTTAATGTTCTGCCAGGTATAAATCCAGTCTGGTTCTTATGTATCAGGGAATCAAGGGTAGTTTTTAACCGATTTGAGATACATGCACTTATTAATTTATACAGAGCATTTAATAAAGTAATTGGTCTCCAGTTCTTCAATAAGGTCCTATTTTTATTAGCTTTAGGTATACAAGTGATAACTCCTCTCTTCATGGTAAGAGACATCTTATTTCTTTTTTATACATCTTTGATAAATCTGAAAGTCCAGACCTTTAGTTCTTTCAAGAAGAATTTAAAGAAATCAATTAGAAATCCATCTATACCGGGGCTTTTGTTATTTTTCATACTATTTATTGCCAATGATATTTCATTTATGTCTAATTCTTTTTCCAATTTGTCTCTCTGTTGGTGACTCAAGGTTGGAGTTATCACATATTCTAAACAGGCATCATTCCCATAGTTCTCAGCAGAAGAATACAGTTCTTTATAGAACTCTTTAAGTTCATTTACGATTGCATCGCTGTCAGTAATTTCGTCATTCTTATCTGTAATAATTTTATTAATTGATTTGCTCACATATTCCTATTTTCTAAGTGACAGAAATATTTTGTTGGTTTTTCCCCTTCTTCATACCATAGATTTCTTTTTCTGAGTTGAATTCCTCGAATCTCTTCTTCCTTAATGTGCTGTAGTTCTGATTCTAATTTAGAAAGTTCAGATAGTAAGGCTTCATCCTTAGATGACTTCGTAAATTGTTAGTAGGGTATGCTGGGTATCCACTGGCTCTTATGTTGAGCAGTCATAGGGGACCGTTCATAACTCATGGCTAGGTGTGTGTGTGTGTGTGTGTGTGTGTGTGTGTGTGTGTGTGTATGCGCGCGTGTGTGTGTGCGTGTGTGCGTGCGTGTGCGATGATAAGTTTTAAGGAGGTCACCCTTTTTGTCCTGGGAGGCAGGGGGTCATCAATTTTGTTCACATGAACTAGGGGGGTCAGCAATTGTGTACATAAACATACTAAAATAACATGCTTAAAAAATATGGTATGGGGGTGTCATTGACTTTGTACATGACATGCAGGGTGGGGGGTGTTGGTGGTGGGGGTGGTGTCAACTTACTTTGTAGATACATTCTAGAGGGGGGCATTCACATTGTACAAGCCATAGCCCTAGCCATAAATTATGAACAGTCTACATTTCAGATGCGAAAAACCCTCAACATTGACTGGTCCTGAGCAGCAAATTTCACCCAAAGACTAGTGCTACAGAACTCGAGTTACATGACGATTTTGGCCATCACCCATCCCAGAACCCATACTTGTCGTAAGAGGCGACTAACGGAATCGGATGGTCAGGCTCGCAGGCTTGGTTGACAGGTGTCATCGGTTCCCAATTGTGCAGATCGATGCTCATGCTGTTGATCAATGGATTGTCTGGTCCAGACTCCATTATTTACAGACCTCCGCCATATAGCTAGAATATTGCTGAGTGCGGCGTAAAACTAAACTCACTCACTCATCCCAGACATGCTCTGAAGGGGAGAGGTAAAGAGAAAGGGTACAACGATGATATGCTACCTCAAAACGTCTGTTTCAACTTGCGGACTGGCATTATCTTGCAGTAACGTGAACATACGTCCTTACATTTACACAAAGAACAGAACATATCTATGATCCGTACAACATGAAAATCTCTGTTACCAGTGATGAGTACCAGTGTTACCAGTATTGAGGCCACCTCAAGCCATGATACTTCCAAATAGAAACAGACGAAATTGAGCTACACAAACGCTCTGTGGACGCCTGTAGATCCGTTCAAGAACGTCAGAGTTTTTTTCATTGACTCATCAATGACAAGTATATTGTCCCTGTCTTGTGTTCAGAACCTAAGATGCTGCCTATACTAAGCTATGCGTGTCTAACGGTCACATGGAGCATATTGCTGGACGTCAAGGCCTGACGTTGTTGGATATGACTCTGCCACTAATTATGTGGTGTTTAGTATCTACGCCGTAAGAATGTGGTTGTCTTCTTACAATGCCGTTGTTGTTGGTTTGCTGTGTAAACGCCGCATTCAGCAATATTCCAGCTATATGGCGACGGTCTGTAAATAATCGAGCCTGGACCAGACAATCCGGTTATGAACAGCATGAGCATCGATCTACGCAGTTGGGATACGATGACTTGTGTCAATCAAGTCCGCGTGCCTGACCACTCAATCCCGTCAGTCGTCTCTTACAAACATTTGTGTGTTTGTCTTTCAATGACCATACAGGTGTTTGAGTATTCCATGTTGTCCCATTATTGTTTGCAGCTTCAACACAGTGCGACGGCATCGTGTAAGGTCAGATATAGTTGTTAACGAATCAAAACGATTTGTTGGGAACATGTGACCAAGATCAGGCAAGGTTCGAACCATTTATACAGACATGTTAAATACGAGGAGACCAGTGCGAGTGGTGCGCGTTTTGCCATTGACGGAAGCCAATCCACGTCATTCAGTTCCCACTATGGGATCAGCCTACCCTGTCTTGTGTTGAAGTTGTAGTAAGAGAGATGGACTGAGGTAAAGAAAACCTATGTGAGTGTTCTGAAGGCATTTTGGTTTTATCACTAAAACTGCTCAAACGCACTCAGTGCATACTAGACGTATCGCCTGAACACACCTGGGGATGTTGCACTTGAAAAACAAATAGGTTTTGCATATATAAGACGATGGTCAGCGATACACGGGGTATTCGCTCCTTTCTGCCATTCGGTGTTATTCGTTCAAGTTCGTGTGTAGGCATTTAGACTACGAATGACTTTGTTGTTAGATGTGTAGGTTCATTTGGCTATTGTGGCGTTAGATTGTTGAACTTGCATTAGTATGTTTAACAGGTTAGGCAATTAGCGGTATTTAGCGGGTCATTTCATTTCAAAGTTCATTTAGAATCATTTAAGAGAATCACGTTTAGTTCTTTGTAAATCATCCATAGTTTTCTCACTTATAATAGTTGTCACGTTTAGTTCCTTGTTTTGGGCCAAAAGGTCAGTTCAAAATTTTATTTGATTAGGTTTTCAGTTAATTTGCATAGCTCTGCACAATCGTTTTATTTTCCACTGCGCAACAGTGAGTATAGAACCTGATGTTGTGTTTATCCTTGAATGTATTTGTGCCAGTACATGAATGAGCGCCACTTAGCGGGTAACGAGACCGGGTGTGCGATACAAGGGCTCCGTCAAATTTGAACTTTTCCCCTATTTGTAGTGAGAAAATGGAACCCTAACACCGTCACAACCTGCAGTTTAGATGTGGAAAGATAATGGCGTGTGACCTTGGTGCATACAGAATTAGAATTGGCTATTGTTAACCTAAATTCATCTTTTTCATGTCGAGGAGAGCACAACGAAGGACCGCCATGTATCAGCGCGTGTTGCACGTGCCTGACTGCACGAGGACCGGTCTCCAACTTTGTTCACGTCTCTGCTGCTCATACTGACCAGTAATGACGTTGAGAAAAACCCGGGGCCACCGAGGCGACAAACAACCCTTGATGGTAAGGTTTGTTTCGTCTGAACTTTTAAAGAAGTGAAAGATATGCGCCAGGAAATAAATGAAAACTTCAATAAACTGTCACCGAAAATCACACAGCTCGAGGACGATGTCGTCGGCTTGATGGAAGATAATACCGACCTGAGGAGACAGTTAACACACTTTCTGAAAAAAATTAAATCCTAGAGAATAAACACAGAATGAACAACCTGATACTCCACAACATTCCAGTGGAGATTAGCGAATCTGAAAAGAATATTGACGATAAAGTTCGGGATGTAATCAGCGATTCGTTGGAAATCACACATGAAATTGATATAGTGAATATTAAACGCATATCATCCAAATCTTCAGGTGCTTGTCCTATTCTAATCACACAAAAGGACCTGAAAACAGAAAGGACTTATATTGAGAGCTTCAGGAAAACTGAAAGGTAAACCAATGAGTATATCCCAAGACTTCAGTGAGAAAACTAGACAAACTCGGAGAAAATTGAAGATATTTATGGACAAGGCTAGAGATGAGGATAAATATGCTGCACTGAGACTTGACAAGCTGCAAATCGACAACAAACTTTACAAACTAAACAGCAATGGCGAGGAACTGTTGCCTATCAAAACGTTACCATGGAAACAAAAAAAACCATCCGACCCAACACAAGCAGGATATAGAGATGTGACCAAAGCCCAGGACTGATAAAGCGCAAAGTGAGTACAAATATACAAAAATCGCAACTTAGAAGGCCTAAAGCGAAATTTGAATACAGAACATTTCCGGAACTTTCTTAATGACTATGACGTGATTAGATTAGTCGAAACGTGGGCAACTGATTCGGACATATTTATGTTTCCTGGGTACTTGCAAGTTAGCAAAGCTAGACAGAAGAAGATTGGAACCATTAGAAATTCAGGAGGTATTTTGTTACTTATTAAAGATTCTCTAACACCCAAAGTTAAACAGCTTCAATCGACCTCGTTTAATATATTATGGTTAAGATTTGACTTTGATTACACGTATCTATTTCTGTGCACTGTTTACTTTTCACCAGAGAGATCAAGTAAACACTGTTAGATATTCTGGAAGAAGACAATATACATATCCATTCTAAGTGGCCGAATTCTGAGATAATAATTCTAGGTGACTTTAATGCCAGGACCGGTGATGGTGAAGGCTTTTTGCTGACGATACCCCGCTTGGAAAATCATCGAAAAATACTAAAGAAATCGAAACTTCTCTTAATACCAATTTAGACATATTATATAGCTGGAGCAAAAACTGGCTGGTCTCATATAATCCTGAAAAAACAGAAGTAGTGTTGTTTTCCATGATTGACGAAACTGAAGAATTGAAATTATTTTTTGACGGAAAGCAAATCAATTTGGTAAACAATCATAAACATCTCGGAATAACATTTGAAGCAAAAAGGCAAATGGTCTTGTCATACTAATCAAATTATCAAGTCGTGCTCCAAAATGATATCATCAATGCGGAAATTGAAATACTTACTTAACAGAAATACAATCAATACTATTTATAAGATATTTATCAGACCACACTTTGAATATGCTTGTGAATTATGGGATGGCTGTACTGTAAAACAGAAAGAAAACTTAGAGAAACTTCAGTTAGAAGCTGCCAGAATAGTTACGGGTCTACCTAGATATACTTCGTCAAATTCTATATTATGAGACAGGCTGGGAAAGGCTGGATGAACGAAGAAAAAAGAAGAAAACTTTGTCTATTCTACAAAATTCAAAATGATTTAGCCCCTGTATACTTAAAAGATATTACTCCAGATAGTGTTGGATCAAGATCTAATTATAACCTTAGGAATGCTAGCAATATTATTCTACCTTCTGCAAGGTTAAGACTTTCATATGATTCCTTTTTTCCATCAACTGTAAGAATGTGGAATAATATTTCTGATACCGAAAAGAAATCGACCTTCATTACAAAGTTTCAAGTCGTACTTAAAGTGCGAGAGCAACCTGTAGCTCCATCATATTACTCGTTTGGAATTAGAAAATTAAATATTATACACACAAAGTTGAGATATATGACTAGTCAGCTAAATTATGATCTGTATCGTTTCAACATAAAAGATTCAGCTCTTGTTACTGTGGCAATACTTGTGAAAATGTACATCACTTCCTATTAGAATGTAAACTGTACAACATCCAAAGGAAATATTAATGTTAAATTTAAAAAGTATTGTAAATCGAGACTCTCCAATCACATTGTCATTGATGTTATTTGGAAGTCCTGATATGACTATTCAACAGAATGAATACGTTTTTAAAGGTGTGCAAACTTTTATTCATCAATCGAAACGTTTTGTGTGATCACATGAGTTGTATCCCTGCCTCTACTTAACTTTCCTATCTCTTCTCTCTATTCTTTCCTAATATGTATATAATTGAAAATGTATGTATGTAAATATTAGGGAGCGGGTATTTTAAGTTGGATTACTTGTCCCCAATCCCTTTCACATTTGTGAATAAAATATGTTTAAATCAACCGGTGATGGTTCACATGCTGACTTTATCCTTAATGACGACCCGACACATTTGCCTGTAGATGATGAGGTTTACTATGCGGCTGATGACAGTTCAGGCATAAGATGTTCTCAAGATCATGTTCTGAATAAACGTGGCATTTAATTGTTGACATTCTGTAAGTCGACAGGATTACGTATATGCAATGGCCGTCCATTTGGAGACAGTGGCATTGGCAAAATTTCTTGCTCTGCGAAAGAAGGTCAAAGTGTTGTGGATTATATTCTGTGTGACAGTAACTGCATGGAAATAATAACCCAATTTGACATTCTTGTGAAATCGACTCTACCCACATGCCAATCTCTTATTCAATTGCCGTAACGATGTAACTGTCGATCATGTAATCAACTGCAACCTGACTAAACAACCACGTTTCGTCTGGAACGAAGACAATAGACCGGCTTACATTTATGCATGGAGTTCCAAACAAGGTATTAATATAGATGACTTTAATAAACATATTGAATAAAATAATGTGAACAAAGCCCTTGAATGTCTTCTAAAATCTATTGAATCATGTGCTGTTGACTTCAGAAAACAGAAAAACAGCCTTGTAATAATTGAAACAAGGGCGACAACTGGTTCGATACGGGATTGTAGATCTGCACGGACGCTTGCTCGTCAAAGCTCCGTGCATTCCATGCCAGCAATCTGGAATGCGACCGCCTCTACTTCAGTGACGCGAGAAAACAGTATAAAGAACTGTGTCATATAAAATCATCAAACTCCTTCAGAAAATATGTTAATAAACTTGAAAGTGCTCTCTACTGTGTAGGAATAGTAAGTTGTTCCTGGTCCCAGGTAAAGCTGGGTCAACCTTTAGTTTGTAGAAACATTGCTCCAACTGACTGGACTAATGAGGGACAAATATGTCACCAAACGAACTTGATTTTTTTATGCATCTGCGAATGACTTTGTTTGTTCTATATCTGACGAACTAATTAGCAGTACTATCGATAATGAAAATATTCTTGATCAAGATATTACGATTTGTAAAATCCAAGAAGCTCTTCTGAGTATGTGAAATCTGGACAAACACCAGGATATAGTGGAGTGCCAATTGATTTTAAAAAATGCTCCATGTAAATGTCTAGACATGTTAAGAAGTTTGTTTAATCTAATTTTATCGACTGGTATATGTCCAGAACAATGGACAGTAAGTAATTATTCCTATTCACAAAAAGGCTCAGTTAACGACCCATCTAATTATAGACCAATCACTTTGTTAGAAATTTGTGGGAAAAATATTCTCGAAAATATTATGTAACAGACTTATCAGTTGGGCAATCGAAGAGGATTTTATTACCCAGAATAAGCCGGTTTTCGGAAAGGATTTCAAACAATAGATAATATTCCTGTGATTGATACTTTCATTATTAAGAAGAAGATATCTCTATATAAGGAAGGTTATACTGTGCCTTTGTGGATCTAAAGGTTGCATTTGATTCTGTCTCGAGAATGTCACTGTTTTTGCATAAACTCTGGATCGGTAATGTTAAGGGTAGGACATTTAGACTTATTCGCAATATGTATGAAAATGTGAGGTCGTTTGTGTCACTTAAAACAAGGCTTGTACGCCCTTCTTTGATTGTTTATCCGGTGTTCGCCAGGGCTGCCAGTTGTCTCCCTTTTACATAAACGACCTTGTTAAGGTACTTAATGCAGACGGACAGAGGTGTATCGATATCGGTGTTTTGAGCATGTTTATTCTGTTGTTTGCAGACGATATCATCTTGTTCGCTAGTACTGTAATTGGACTTCAGAAGAGATTAGATAAATTGTCGTCTTATTGTGATAAATGGCAATTACAGATTAATTTGGAGAAAACAAAAGGTTTGTTTTTCGTAAAGGTGGCAGGCTGCGAAAGTATGAAAAATTTAGTCTGCAAGGTAATTCCATAGAGATTGTATCTACCTATAAGTACTTGGGGGTTACCTATCTAGTACAGGTTCATGGTATACCACTCAGAAAGTGTTGTCCCTACAAGCTTCGAAGGTTGTTCTTATGTTAAAACAACGAAACGTTATTTTGATAACTTACCTGTTGAGGTTCTGATACATATTTTTTATATTAAAATCTTACCGATTTTGCTTCATGGGTCTGAGATAAGTGGTATCCATCCGTCTCTTAACATAAGGAATATTCATGACAAGTTCTGTAAAATGATCCTACATTTGAAAAGAAGTGTTCCTAACATTGTGGCTCGAGAGGCAAATTAGGAAGATTCTCGCTTAAAGTCAATCAGTATGTCAAAATAATGAAATATTGGATAAGATTATTATCCCAGAGTGATAATTATATTCTCAAGCATATCTGTTTGTATCAATATAATCTTGCTGAAAGAGGAGTAGATTGTTGGGCATTAAAAGTGAAAAGGTTAATATTTAGCTATGGCTTTGGAAATGTATGGGAAACGCAGCTTGTGAGAAATAAAACAAAGTTTATATTGGATTTTAGGCAAAGGTGTATCGATATTGATAATCAGCCTTACTCTGAGGCACTTGGTAAATATTCTAGTTTGTCGTTCTATAGAAGTATTAGAATTGATTCTGCTGTTGAAAAATATTTGACAGAGGTAGATATTCAAGTTTATAGGATTTCATTATCACAATTTCGTTGTTCGGGTCATAATCTTATGGATATCAGATGGTAGAAAGTTTAACATTCCAAGAAAGGAGAGGTTGTGTCCCTTTTATATATTATACCAGAAGTGGAAACTGAATTTCATTTTTGTTTTATATGTCCATTTTATAACGAACTAAGGCAGAATATTTTACCTAAATATATTTGGAATTACCCATTAGATAGAAAGTGTGTCCAATGATTTTCTTCAACTATCCATTAATTATAAAAAGCTTCGCTAAATTCATCTTTTTAGCCAAAAAAAAGAGACAGAACTTTCTTACATCTTGACAATAAATTGACAGCGATGATATTTCTTATGACAATATGTCCAACACTTCACCGTTTGTATACTGGAGTTCGTCGCATGTACATGTGAAAATGTAAAATGGGCCGGTGGCCCCACTACAAGGAAATAAACTTCTCTCTCAGTACATGAATGTAATGCGGTTACATTCCCCTGATGAAGGGGCAAGAAATAGCCCAGAAACGTTGTGCTTGTAAATATTAAAGAAGTTGTAAATCCATACCACATGTTTTTATGTAATGCGGTTATGTAAGAGTCACGATTGCCCGACCCGACACTCTTTGACTTTGCATCCTGCAACGAACCAAGAGAATGGAAAGCCTGAGGTACCATCTCGCCTGGACAATGTGGAACATTAATAATTAGTGGGTAAGCACTGTAGGGTTGCAGCATTTACTACAAAACGTATATTTCTACCAAATTTAAATCAGAATTAAGTTTTCTTGTTCCTCTATTTCAGATTGACGGACAAGTGCACAATGTCAACGAAGGTGAAATGGATATCAAGATTGAAACGGACAAGTTTGGTAAGACCATCAGATACATGATCTTTAGAGGCCGCCACTACATTCCAGCATATGCGTCGTCAATCCTCGAACAAATAAAGAACGTTTCCATGAGGCCTGATGATATTTACCTCAATGCTTATCCAAGAACAGGTGATTTTATTTTTGTAAAACGTATTAAGTTTACCTCCTATATATATATTTAAAGGTTGTGTGCCCATGACTGACATATCTTTTGTCTCCCTTTGTCTCTGCTATCATTCTCTTTCGGGCAGTTCGGGAGGAAACGTATATTGTAAACAATCTTCTGAACAATCGCTTTACAAATAATTGACACAATACTGAAACTGTGCACGGGTGTCAACTACTGCTACAGAAAGAGGTTTGCAAAAATAAGATGGACTTCAATGCCTCATTTATTGTCCCCTTGAAATAATCAAAACACGAGGATTGTATGTCAGTGATGTGTTTTATATTATCGTTGATCATTATTAATGTTGGGAAATCTTTTCACTGCCGTACTGTATAAAACCGTGTCCTCCCTCAGAAACAAAAATACACTTGCCTGAATAGTCCAAGGCTTGTGGCCTAAAATCTCAATAACTAATTAAACTGTCAGAGAAACAATTACTCAGAAAAACAAAGTAATAATAAAATATTGTAACCATGTCCTTCATGACAGAATGTCACACTGTGCCATATCCCTTCCAAATCTCCAAACCTGATTCGAAATCCACCTGATCCACGCTGACCAAAGCGCCTTCATGTTGCAGCACTTTGCCTTGACCAAAGTGACGGCAATCCGTATTATACATGGAACAAGGTGTCCTACAACACTTTTACTAATTATTTCCACATATGAAACAATGATCTTTTCCAGGAACTCACTGGGTATACGAAATGGTGATCATTCTCTTCAGAGGCAACACTGAAACCATTCAGGAATCCCAGGTGACCCACCAATCAGAGCTTGTGACGAACGACGGCTTGAGTAAGCTCCCTTCACCAAGGGTTATTGATATCCACTTCCGGTTGTCAGATGGTCCTGAAGTGGCGGAAAAGAAAAAAAAAAAAGAAAAGAAGTGCAAGGTTATCTACAATCTTAGAGACCCATGAGACGTGGCTGTGTCTATGTATCACGCCTATATCGATCTGAAGTTTTCGGAATACGAGTGCTCTTTTGAGGGTTTCTTGTATCTGTTTCTTGAAGGAAAAGGTATGAGGAATTTGGTATGAGTGTAAACTAATAGATCTCACAACGAAAGAGTCAAATGGACTGTTTTACCCTCAGTTCGAGATAATTCTAATTTTGGGTTAATCTATTCCACAGTTTTACTTCAATCCTATATCACAGCTTTATAAACCATAACAGGGTTACTGAAGGTGAAGTACTACTTTTGGGTTTCAGCTGAAGTCGATGGTCTATTTCGTCATTGGCTTAATGCCGAGGAATTTTTCAAAGAAAATCCAGATATTCCTGTTTATTTCAATATCTATGAAGAAAATCTAAAGGTGGGTAAAAACATTAAAATGTATGTTATGCTGGTACTTGACTTATTAGTCAGTTTTATAAAACCTAGCAGGTAAATGTTTCTCACACAACAGGTAATTATGTAAGAGCTTAGAACTGTCTATTATATGTGCCTGTCTATTTCAGAAGCCATTTCGTGTAACATAGTGTTCATTTTTCGGTTTTAAACAAATGTCACAGAAACGAAGAATGTTTATATTTTATGCGAGGGCCTATTCCAATAACCAGTTCGTCATTATATTCAGGTTGAACATAATCACCTAGTAGTTCATGTTGTAGAAGGTACGTAAGTCCCAAAACAATTCAAGTAAATGTAATCATACTATACTTTAATTTTAACTGCAGTATATATGTTATTTAAATTCATGGCTAGATTGTGAAAATTGAAGGGATGGTAGCAATGGCACTGTAAGTCCCTATAGTCCCTAGTATGGTGATCTACCTTCAGTTGATTGAAATATATATCCTGCTTTTATATTGTGTTGTACTCTAAAGTTAAATTGTATTAGATTTGAGTGCTGGGTTTACTTTTCTATCTGTGAATTTCTAGTTATTTTACTGTCCTTCGTCGACAGGTTTTGTAATTTAATTCCATTTATTATCAATTTATAACTTTTTAAGTCACGATATGGCTGAAATATTGCCGATTTGACTATAAATCTTAACTCACTCACTCACTTATGTTTGTTTTTACTAGTGTGTGTCAGTATAATCCCCCTTCTGTCTGTGCAACGCCTCTCTGACTTTCTTGGTCTGCCAAGAGACGATGAACTGTGTCAAGCCATTGCTGACAAATGTCACGTTTCTAACATGAGAAGAGACAAAGAAAAATACTCCACTCAATCTGATGGGAAAACATGCTATATCGAAAAGGTAGATTGATTAAGCACATTGCAGAACGACAATTACACCTAAAAAGACTAAATATGAAAAAAAAAAAAACCGTTGTTATATGTGAAACATAGCCATGGAAAATGTCGTTCGAAATCAAATACACGTTAGGTTACACTAAATGGAGCAGAACAAGCATACTTGAGAGTTGACCCTTCACATAAACAGCAATAAGACAGTGTGTTTGTTTGTTTTATGTTGTCAGTTAGATATTGCTACGTTTCTTAGAGAATAACGGAAAACAGGTGCAATTTAACAATGGTCAATACATACAGAGTTTTACAAGTGACAAAAAATAGGCCTGATTTGACTGGGATACTAACTTCGACATGTCGATAATGAAATAAAATGTGTTGCAAGGAAATGTATTTGTATTTCTGTAAAGCAATGGGTATAGCAAATCATTTCTAGTTCAGATATATTGTGATCCTCAACATATTGGTTCTATTCGTGAGTAACCTGCTTGTGTCGTAATGACAAATTCTTGTTCGGACTCTTTCACTTGTAACCATTACAATTTTATATTAGTCCTATTTTGTTGATTCATAGGTACCGTTGGCGACTGGAAGAACTATTTCACAGATGAAATTTTGGACGACTACTATCGAGTGTATGAAGAAAAGAATACCGGCTCGAGATTCTACATTCTGTACGCTCGAAACTCATAAAAATGCCTCGTATTCCACGATAAAACTAATTTCATCAGTGAATGGAAAGAATGTTTTCTAACAATATGGAACAATATGCCAGTATTAATTTACTCAGTGCTATAAGTGGTTTTATAAGCAAAACTATAATGCAAACTGAATGTGCGCCTTCATATTTATATATAGTAAATTATTATTTGCACATCATATATGAAATGTCTATTGAGGGACATGGATGAAAACCAAATTCAGCAATGAAAAGTGGTGTTACAGAACATTCAAGAATCGTTTTTTCGAATCAGAAATAATAAAAATGTGTATTTTTACAGAAAATGAAACTTTAATCGCCTATTAGTACAGGGAATGTTGTAAAGACTATTATCTTACTTCAGACACATAAATGCCGCTTGTACCCCGCTTACAAGCGAGGTACATTTCAATGTACCCCGCTGTCAATGCAAACTCATTTGGTACTTCGTGGTAGTAATTCTTTATCTCGAATAACATTGAATCACGTATGATGTACGGAAATTACCGATGTTTTGCGAATGCAAATCGACGAAAAGGGAGATAACTCTGTTTTACTTGTCAGCAAAATCTAGCGCTGGCTACAAAAAGATTTGTACCCGTGCTTCAAACAATTCAAAATTAACATTAAGGTGTTCGGTAAGATAAATACGTTGTTCACTGGTCCCTGGGGGCCGATGTACCCTCGATGTTTGTACCCTTCGGGCTCAGGGAACATAAACAAACATCAAGGGTACATCAACCCATGCCCCCCTCGTGACCAGTGAACAATTATAATGTTGGCAAGAGAGGCATGGTAACTGCCTGTGATGAGCCGGATTTCCTATGCGGACCAGTCTTCGTAACTTGTCACCGTCAACTTGTCAACATACACCTGTCACCGGGACAGTTTCACCAGCTTCTGTCAATATCTGAAGTTGGCGCCCTGTACACTGATCACATTAGCAAGGATCCTCATTATGCTCGCGATGAAGACTAATTTCTTAGAATTGTTTATATTTATTGATTGGCAGGTATTATTGGCGACTGGAAGAACTACTTCACAGACCAAATGCTGGAGGACTACTATCGGGTGTATGAAGAAAAAAATGGCCGGCTCGAGATTCTACAAACTGTACGTTCGAAACGCATGAAAAACAACAACACTCGTATTTAAATTATTTTAACCATCGCTGTTCCACGAAAACCTTCATTAGTTATCAGATGGAAAGAATATCATATTTCACGTATTCATGCTACTACCAAATAATTTGTTTGCAGGAGAACCGCATAACATATCATATGCACCTGTTTTCTTGAAACGAAGAGGTCAAAGTTATGTTTACTTGAATGTATAAATGTGGGTGTATAAAGCTGGTGTAGATGTGGGCTCAATACAAAATAGATGTGAGCAGGATCTATACATTTGCATGTATGAAACCTCTCTTTGATACACCAACTGTATGTAATGACCTACTGACTTGCCCGAGACCACCACAACCTAAAACAACTTTGTGTTTGTGTTTCGAGACAAGTCCAAAGGTGAGTTTAGTTTTAGAACTCTTCCAACGAAATCACGGCGGGGGACGCCAGAAAAAGGCTTTGCAGATTGTATCCATGTGGGAAATCGAACCCGGGTCTTCATTGTGACGATCGAACGCTTTAACCACTCGGCTACCCACCGCCAACAAGTCCAGACGACCAGTGTATGCCTTATTTATCAGTTTCGTTCAGAACAAGTTCGAAAGAAAATGTGTAGCAGTGCTTCCGAATTGTAGCCTGAAAATGAATGCTGCTTGCAGGGCTAACATGATAAGAAATTAGTCTTCAGCATTTGCCTCGCGGACTAGTGTCTTTGGCTAAGGGTGCACTTTGAATCATTTCTTAACACTAATGGCAAAAGTCAGCAAACCTGTGCAGTAGAGCCCAACTGTGACGCGACCCGTCGAGGTTCCCAATAATCACATTTTCGAATATGTTACGAATACACTGTACTAAACGAGCACAAGTGAGGTAAATACATATTGTGTGTGTATTCCTAAAACTGTGGCAATAACCCTCTCCAAACCGACAATTGTTTTCATGTAATAAAGTCTTCAGAAACGGTTCCCACATAAGTTTTAATGAAAGTTGAAACTGAAACTATTGATCTCCATTGATCTCCTTGTAACTTGTGATCTCATTGTAACGCACCGCCATATAGCTGGAATATTTCGGAGAGCGGCATAGATCTACACAAAACTCCTTGTAACTCGCGAGATTCTGTCACCATTGCTCTCACAACTATAATTCACTAATGAGAATAACCCGTAGATCTAAATAAGGAATCTGATGTAATTTTAGAATGATTACGGCATGTATTTTGTACCTTATAATAATACGAATGCAAACCTCTACTACTGTCGATCCAAGAAGAGGTGAAGGTTATGCTGAAAGCATCCCTTATATGTACCAAAGGGATAGGCTCTGGGTCTCGTGCAGTACAGATGACTTAATTTGCACCTCAGTGCTGTCACATCGTCTGGAGAATGGGACAGCTTTACTTGTTGATGACGACGCCAAATGATGGCAGCTAAGCTAGCTCTTCATGAGGAGATAAAGTGCTAGAAATTATGGACGATTTCTGCTTTACCGGTGAGAAGCACTCCCGTAAATTCAGACACCCAGTGATCCATTTCCAAAGAGAGTATAATCTGTCCAATCCTGTTCATTATTTCTGTGAAGGTTTAGGTAATTTTAAAAGACACCTGAATTGTCATTTTGAAGTGTATAAATAAGAAGAACTGTATCATTAAAGGGGACTTATGCCATTTTTCAAATGACATTTGTAAGAGTGCCATGCCATAGCGTTTACTTCACAGAGTAACCATTAATTTTTCCATATATACCCGATCACCACCTGGCATTAAACTTCTTAAACACTGAAATAACTGAATGCATCACACAGAGCAGAATAAAATATTTAAAGGCAACAAAGAAGGTTCAGGGGATCCTGCTGTCACAGTAAATTGTGTCATTTCATAAGCGAAGTCTGCATATACATCATGCTTTTCTCCAGTCTTGCCAATGATATAAATGATCTCATTAAAAGGAAGATCGGGTTAGTTGGCTTAACCCGAGTCTGCATACGGGCCTATTCCAAAGGATTGTATAACTGCCATTTTAAATGACACCTTCTAAATATTCTGGGTCGTACCATGACCGGACCTCTGAGTCCACAAAGATGGAGAAAACGGTAATAATAGGACTGAGCGACGCCATCATGTCGCTAAGGATAGTTAGTATTTTTGTGCCAAAGCTGGGCATCCACTGAAAAGGTGACACGGAAATTCATTACATAATTTCATATTTACATTTTTTTGGTGTAACATCATATAAAGACGTTCCACCCGTGAAAATCCAGGCTAGAATAGATCTTCCGTAGCCCATGCTTGTCGTAAGAGGCGACTAACGAGCTCGCTGACGTGGTTGGCACATGTCATCGTATCCCAACTGTGTAGATCGATGATCACTGGATTGTCAGGTCCAGACCACCGCCATATAGCTGGAATATTGCTGAGTGCGGCGTGAAGCTAAACTCACTCAATTGAAACTGGTGACAGCACCAAAACTCCAGCGCCATGTATATGTCATCCCTGTGTAAGTTTTTCTACATACAAACACATGAACTGAGCATGACAAACACATGAACTAAAGTCAATGTCCTATCACAGCTGACCTCGTTTCAGGTAATACTGTTATCTCTGGTGTATGGGACGTTACATCAGTCTTATCACAACCTACATTCACATGCACTTGACACAACTGATAATATATCCAAGCCTTCGATAACTGTGAGGTGAGGTGATGTGATGTGAGCTGAAATGGGGTTTAACGTGGTACTTGAGAATATCTTGGTCACACGACACATGTGTATGTGTGGCTGGTTGTACTAGCCCAGACTTAAGCTGGTTTTATAGCGCTAGGTCACTGAGATACCATGCCGCTGTTAAGCATAATACCCCACTAAGACATTACACTGACTCCGAGCCAACCAGTCTTTTGTGTAACCAGTGATGCCGAGCGTGAGGCAGGGAACAACATGTACGTCTTTTGGTATGACGCGGCCGGGGACTGAACCCGTGACCTTCGCTCTCTGTAAATGATACAGCTACCATATACCGGACCGCCTCCGTGGTGTAGTGGTTAGAGAGTCCGCCCGGAGAGCGGAAGGTCGTGGGTTCGATCCCCGACCGCGTCATACCAAAAGACGTTAATATATGGTACTTGTTGCTCCCTGCCTGGCGCTCGGCATTAATGGGTACCACAAGGACTGGTCGGCTCATAGTCAGTATAATGTGTCTGAGTGGGGTATTCATGCTTCACTGCGGCATGGTATTTCTGTGGGCTAGCACTATAAAACCAGCTTAAGTCTGGGCTAGTACAAGCAGCCGCACATACACATACACACGCATGCACGTCGTCACATGAGCGAAATATTCTCAAGTACGACGTAAAACCCAATTTCACCTCACCTCACCATATACCGAATTATATATAACATTTACGTACATAGAGAATACTACACGAGGTCTCATTACATACGAATTATACGAAACGAGTGTCCTTCCTATGGTATCTGACCGAGCGAAAGCGAGGTCAGATAACATAGGAAGGTCACGAGTTTCGTATAATTCGTATGTAATGAGACCGAGTGTGGTATTTTGTTTATTACCCACGTCTTACATGCATTTAAATTGACAAAATAGCGTATTTTTGTTGTGTTTATGGTTTCAAACCGAAACCAGTTTCATAAAGAGGTTGCGGAAGAGTTTTGTACTGTAGTACAATATGTGCATGACGTCACACTAATGACGTCACTGCCATGGTAACCGACGTCACGATGCATGTCAGTTGTCATCGCCTCGTACAGCCTCCTACAGTAAACTACTCCGTTGCACCTCGTTTCTTGGTTTCCAGTTGCTTCATTCGGTTAACATCACTGGTGGAAACATTGCGTTTATGTTTTTCGACAGATATAATGTCTCAGTTCGACTCACAATTAAACAGCGACACGGCAACGTTCGCAATGTTTACATTCCCACAATGCATTTAAGTTGTAGAATGAATGAATTCACGTGTTTGTTATGAATGAAAAATAGTTACGTCAGAATGTGACCTAATTGAGAGGTCATCGGTTATCCAATCAAATCGTTAGAATTTCAGGTCAAGTCGTTACGACACAGGTCAACGCGATACGACACTCGTGTGACGTACGAGATTAATATGCAACTACCCATACGTTGACCACGTGGGTAATAAATGATCTTATGCAATATTGCAGAAGTGTGGAGTCAAGCCTGATCAATGATTAAGTTTAAATGTATTCAAAAGGGCGTGAATGTCAGAATCTTTAAGTGTTATTATTTCCTCAAGACAAAACTTCCAAGACACAACAGTGCATGAATTTGGTGTGTGATCTTTGTTGATTTGTAATATGAAGAAAAGGGTTGTATATCTACTTGAAAGGACCAGTACATTGTTTTTTTATGACTTACAAGCGATGAAACTCGATGAAGCTACAAATGTGTGAGTGGTGAAGAGAGAAAGGGTTTTCAGGAACAGCAATCACCGAGCTGTTTTAGCGTGGCCACTTGCCTGAAATTTCATTGAGGCAATCCTCGGCTCCAACCGCTCATGACCCAAAACGCCTTTCTCTTTATCACTTGAGGATACCCTAAACGTCACTGCACACAAACTCGGCTACATCAGTGTGAATATTTCAAAACTTACAAACCAACAGAACAGTTACCTTCTATCACGCTTTTAATTGCACATGTACCGTATTTCATTAAAAATGTTTATGTATTGTTCATAAACATATTTTTTCAAATTTTGGGGAGAATATGTCCGTTTTACGCGATAGTTTAAATTTTCACCACTCTGCTAAAACCATGTCTGATTTTCTCAAAAAGTAAATTTTCGTATGGACACGTCTCCTCTGAATTTGCCAAGCTGAAGGACCTGAACTTACTGTGAAATGTTACTTTGTTTTGAGATTTTCAACTTAAATTTACAGTATTAACCCAGAAGGAAAGTGACTAACATGGCAATTTGTGTCCAGTGGTTACTTTACATTTGAACAATTGAGACTATAA